GCTCCTTCAGTGCAGGAGCTGATGGGCCTTGGAGTCCCAGGACTGGGTACCCCTCAGCCTCGTGAGCCAGCACCAACTTTCAGATCACATCAGTATTGCTAACTCATGTTTTTCTGATGATTTTTGAAGAAGTTAAGATGTACTGACAGCTTCAACTCTTCTTCCTTACCGAGAGACCTTTGGGAAGAAAAATCTCCCCCCTGGAGAAGTACCTGGTCAGGTCCCACAAAGTTGGAGCCACATTTCTTTGACTCCAGCCAAAGCAAGCTCAAGAGCAGCATGATATGTGTCAGCTTTAACATACGAAGGCTAGTGTCAGTACAGCAAATGCAAATTATATTTTAGCTGAATAAGTAATTACACTAAATAAATAGTTTAATAAATCCAAATAAATTGACTAAATGAACAGGCATTAGCTCCAGAGATGGCCCTAATGGAAACATGACTGCAGGACGTCCCATCAGGGGAGGTAGGAGACATGCAGAGGTGCCTCCATCTGCCTCCCCTGTGGAAACCACAGCTTCCCAGGAACTTCCAGCACTTTAGGTGCAACAAGGACTTCTTTTAATAAGAGCCCACAGTAAAACATTAGAGCTGCTCTGTTGCCATCATTAAACTCAAATTGGTTCTCCACATCTGGGAACTACATTTAAACCCATTTGTAAACTTTCCATCTGGCCAAAACTTTGGAAACTTAGCCCTGAAACTGGCTCTTTGGGTGACCCTGCAACAACAATGTGCAATTCAAACATCACAGAAATCAGGAGCAAAGACTAAGGCAAAGTGCAAAGATCAGCACCAACAAAAACATCAACTGTGTCAGGGAGAGCATGTTTCTCAAATTTCAAGAGAGCTGAAGGAAGGAATCGCATTTCAGACAGATACCGAGAAACAGCCGATAATTCTTCAAGTCTCTGTGCTTAACTCTGGCACATGCCTTAGTTTCAGAAAGCTACTGGGACAACAAGAGCCCAAGGCATGGAATGAACCTGCTGGTCTCTGTGTGCAGCGGGACCAGCAGAGCATCAGGCCTGCAGACAAAAGCAGCAGTGCTGGGAGGCAACAGCTACAGCTCCACAGTGTTGCAGGGAGGACTCCAGCTTCAGCCCATGCCACCACCAACAGCTGTCACCACAGCCACAGCAGCTCTGGGTAAAACTACATGCAGCACGAGCCTGGAGGGGTCAACTCTGCCAGTCCTGAGAGTGCCATATAAACCTCAATGTGGCCAAGAGCCCCCAAGACCCACAGAGGGGGTGACAGGGAGCTCTGGGTAGGGATTGCAGGGGAGGTCTGACAGCTGTGCTGTTGTCCTCAGCAGCTCCCACTGCCCTCCTGTGCCCTGTGGCACAGCTGTGCCATGAGCCTGGAGCCTCCCACTCGGCCACCCTGTGCTGGCCACCCGTGGCTGCCCCGGGCCCGCCTGGGCCACACACGGCCCTGGGGACCAGCCAGCAGTGATCTCTTCAGCTGGAGAAAAGAGCCTGCACTTCTGTGAGCACACATCTACTTTCCCACCCAAAGAGGGAAGGTTTGTCCCCTGTGTAAGTGCCTCTATGCCAAACTGTCAGGAAAATGTCCTGGACTCAATAATCTTAGAGAGGTAGAATGCAACAGAAGGCTCCACAGGCAAAGGGGAATGATGAGCTCTGCTGCATCAACCAGGTGCTTGCAGGAGGCGAGAACCAGAGGCTAACCCTGGGACAGCCTTGCTACTACGGCAAAAATCTGACCTGCTGCCAAAAGTGACAGCCACTGCCACCATGGCAGGAGCCACATGTTGGTTTTCATCTCTGGCATGCTGTCCCAGCACTGCCCCATGGACTGGCTTTGCTTCTCAAACGCAAATAAAAAAATGCATGAACTTGAGACCTGTAAAGCTTCTAGAAATAACAACTTTCCAGCACAACCAACGGAGCACGACGCAGGAAAGCAAAGCGGGTGCTGGGAAGCTGTGCCAGGAGAGGGGTGTGCTGCCAAGTTTAGTCATGTACAGACGACGAAGGCAAACACAGGACTCTGCAACACGGCGCTGGTTTTACTGTGCACGAGGCAGTTCTGTGTCTGCAGGTGGATTTATCTCAGTGCATGCTCCTGACCTACTTGTTTCCACTTTTCAGCTGGGAAACCCAGAAGCAAGGCTGCTCAAGCAGTGTAGCAACCTTCTAGTAGGAACTCAGCTCTTATCCCACCGGCAGAACTGCCCTGAACATGATCCCCTCAGGTTCCCATCCCTCACCTCGCCGCACAGATGCTGTGTTACTGTGCTCCTTTCCTCTTCTTATCCTTGTAGTGGTGATCAGATTTCTCTTGCACAACTTTTCTCTGACTCTCCCCCCGAAGTCTGTTAGAGCTGCATATTAAAAAACCCCGAGTGCCAGCAATTCAGCCCTTTCTGAAACACCAGTGAACCTCCAAGGTCGGGTGACAGACAGCGATAGCAGATCCCAAGATTAAGAATCAGCCTTCTGACCTTGTTGCTAATGCACAGCAACACTTGCTTCCACAGCAGTTTTCGATTAACACCTGCATTCTCTGCTGCTCTAACAGAAGAGGTGGGTGAAGGCATGGGTGGCTGGGACACTGAGAGATGGACGGACTGAGCTAGAAAAAAACACATCTGGGCAAGGCAAGATTGAAAGGCATTTTATGGTAGCACTGACAAACTTGCACATGAGAGACTTATTCTAAGGACAGTGAAAACCATAGGCACAAAAATAATCCAAGAAACACTGCAAACAGCAGCTGTCTATGACCTCACACTAGCTTATAAGAAAGGTAATTTCACCCAAAACAGGCCCCAACTCCCTGACAAGACCTTCCCCTACTCCTCCCCAGATCCAAGAGGCACCTGAGCAATTGTGCAGTGCTGAAACACGTGGAAGATTTTTCCACCTTCCGTCCTCCCTCAGCAATCGATTGCACCTGAAGAGGCAGGGATTACACCACGTAACTTTTTAACCCAGTTGCTGGCACTGCAGGCGTGATGCCTGCTTCAAAATCTGGCACGTGGGGGAGAGGGGGAGGCTCTCAGCACTGAGCTCCCCACTCTTGAACTGCATCCAACTTGCTCCACCACCAAATGCCAGTGAACTTTGCTTTAGGTGACAAACTTCAAAAATCCACCTCCACACCATAAAATCGGGGGGGGGGTGTAGGGGAAGGAAGTGGCAGGGAGGTCACTCAGGGGATTCATGTGCCTCAGGATGAAGGCCAGCCACAAGCCATGCTTGTATGCCATCTGCTTGTACTTTAGAGATCAGAGAAAAAAGCCAAGCCTGAGATCAGTGCTCAGGGCTGTAAGTTCTTGAAAATATAACACACCAAACCGAGCAAACCCAGGGCAGGGGGAAGCAGGGGCTGTGCCAGCCCTGCAGCTGGCACTGAGGACAGTCAGGACATGGGGCTGCACCTCGTCCCCAGCCTGAGCCACTCAGGCTCCGATACAAATCAAGAACAGCCAGCAAATATCTAGTTAAAATCCACAATTTCCAGCTGTCGTCTCGAACAAGCCTCCTCCCAGAACAATTCTTGCTTCTGAGTGCTTCTGAGCATTTCCTAACGTGTCAGTGGCTCCCGCATCCCGAATTTCCAGGAGGACCCAGCTCTCCCCTGCCCACCACCTCCGGGACACCCATGTCGGTGCGCGGGCAGCCCCACGCGGTGCCCGGAGCAAACTCCGCGCCCGCAGCGCCCGGCGGTGCCCCCGGCCCGGGGGAACGGGGCCGCTCCCGGCCGGGCCCCCCCGCGGCCGCGCGGTGGAGCGGCCCCTTGAAGGTGACCTTCACCGGGCCCGGGGCTCCCGCTCCGCCGGGACGGGCCCGTCCGGGCCGGGGGCACCGCCCGCCCCCGGGGCTGCCCCGGGCCCCGGCCCGGCCCCGCCGCGCCACGGGCCGGCTCCGCGAACGGCGCGGCCCGGCCCCGCTGCGGCCTCGGGCCCCGGCAGCCAGCGCGGCCCCGGGGCCGCGCGGAGCCTCCCGAGACACGGCGGGGCCGTCGGCCCCGGCACGGCTTCCCCGCTAAACGGAGCCCCCCGGGCCGCTCCGCCGGGGTGTCCCCGGGCGGGACGAGCCGCCCGGGGCCGCAGAACCGCCCCGGGTCCCCAGCGCGATCCCGGCCCCCCACGACCTTCCCGGCGGGCCCCGGGAGCCCCGGCGCCGGAGAGGAGATAGTGGGTTCGCACCGCCGGCACGGGCACCGCCGGCCCCGCGGGGCCGGCCCGCGCTCCCGCCGCAGGCCCCGGCCCGGGCCCTTACCGGGGCGCTGCTGCGTGTCCGCGGGCCGGCTGGCGCAGGGTGCCGCGTGCTGCTGGTCGGCGCCCTGCGCGGCCGGCACGGCGGCCGGCGGCATCTCGCCCGCTCGGATGACCATGGGCCCGCGAAGGACAGCGCCGTCCGCCCGCCCCACGTGGTGCGGCCCCGCCGCCGCTACGGCGCCCGCCACGGCCCAACCCCCGCGCCCGCAGCGCCTTAAAGGGGCCGCGCGCCCCGCGCCGGGACCGGCCCCGCACGGCTTCGGACAGACCCGCACGGCTTCGGACAGACCCGCACGGCTTCGGACAGAGCCGCACGGGCCCCGCACAGACCCCGCACGGCTTCGGACAGACCCGCACAGCCCCCGCACGGCCCCGCCTCCTGGCTCCCCGCCAGGGAGGCCCCGCAGGCCCCCCCGGTGAAGGTCACCGGCTGCCTGCGACCTTCCCGGAGGCCGCCGGGGGTCACGGGGGTGACACCGCGCCCAGCCGGGCCCGGGGAGCCGCGGGTGTCCCGGCCTCGTGTGCCCGCAGCTCGGGGCCGGCCCTGTCACTCCAGGCCCTGATAATGATCCCCCCCATTGACCTGCAGGCCCCCTGTAAGGACTGGGGGGCCACTCTAAGTTCTCCCCAGAGCTCTGAAGGGGCTCTAGGTGGTGAGGTAGGAGCCAGGTCTGGGACGGAGGCAGAGATGCTCATGGTTTGTGGCTGGAGGTCCTGGGTGCTGGGGCAGGACAGTACAAACCTCTGCAGATTTCAATCTCTTTATTAAGAAAAAGGCATATTACAACAATTCCTAAAGTACAGCTCCATACTCTAGTTTCTGATGTTAACACATTTTGAAAAGCACTTGGTTAAAAAGCAAAGTCAACATGAACATCATCCTGGCAAATAATGGTGACATGTAGCAAAATGAACATTCAAATAAAGCAGAGCAGTGTCAAACCTTTGGCATCTGTCCCTCCACGGCGCTCCCCAGCATGAGGCACAGGCATTTATTGTTCTCACTGAGCTTTGCAAACTCAGCCAAGGACAATATTTTTGCTCCAACGAAACTGCAGCTGCTCGGGGAGCAGGTACCATGGGTGCTGCCCTCCTCCTTCCTGTGCCAGAGGCCTCCCCATGGTCCCAGCACAGCTCTGGCCAGGAAGGGGTGATGTCCCCACACTGTGAGGGTTAGACCCTCTGCACAGACTGGGGTGACAGTGACTCTGAAACATACAGATAGTGCTCGTCCCCACAGGGCTGCAGAAAGAGTCTGCTGCTTCAGACATGCAAACATTTTGGGTATTTCCATGGCCCAATGGTCTAAGTCCTGCAATAATTGTAATGACGGGAAAGGGGAGCTTTTTTTGGAAGTCACAAGATCAGGGAAATCTATCAGGAAGAGCCAGGAGGCATCACCACACCCTGTCCAGGGAGGACCAGGCACCACTTGGGTGTGGGTTGGGTGCACCTCTCACACACTGGCAGCTTCGTGCTCCTGTTCCTGCCCAAAGGGGCGAGGGGAGGGAGGGTGAGAGGAAGGGACTGGATGTGGTGGCAGTACCGAGTGTGCCCCTCCAGGTGCTTCTGTCCAGTGGCACCGTCCCTTCATGTGGCTGGGACAGCAGCATCCCTGCAGGGCAGGAGGAGAGGAGACAGAGGCAGAAACAGGGTCCTGAGGAGCAAAGGGCACCTCTGACAGCAAGGGGACACGGCGCTTTGATCTTTGTGCTTTTACAGGCCACAGTGTCTGGCAGCTCCTCCGTGGCCGCTGTGCTCATCGATCCCAGGCTGCTCCTGCTCACCCAGCCGGGCACACTGGCACTCCTGATCTTACCCACAGCATGAGGCAATCCATGGGCATAAGGGAGTTCTCTCTCCTCCTGTTGCATTCCCTGTAGGACTTGGCAGCCAGGCACTGACAGTGCAGGAGAGTGACAAGAACAGGCGTGCACTGAGGCAGCTGCGGCATCAGTACAGTGAGACTGGCTCGTCACGGCTGCTGGGACATGAGGGCTGCTGTTCTAGGAAAAAGGCAGATCATGGGGCTTCACTGGGGCAGCAGGAGCCAGTTCACAAGGCTGCACACAAGGACTCAGAAAGGTTCACCTAAGCCCTGTAAATGGAAGTCCCTTGTCATGCTGCTGATTTACCTTCCCAGTGGGGAGAGCTTGAGGAGAACTTGGGAAGTGCTGGACAGAGCTGCAGTGCTGCTGCTCCTCTGCCTTCTGGGAGCTCGTTTTAGGGAGCTTGTGCATGGAGATGCACTGTGCAGAGCAGAGCACTCCCTGCACACCACCGGCTCCAGCCAGTTCATGCTGTGTCACTACCAGCTTTCCTGGGCACCCGGAGAGACCACCCCTCAGCCCCTCCAGAGCACCCATCAGCTGGGCCCTGAACCCAGCTTCACTTGCCATAAGGCGGTTCACAGAAAGCCTTGGGCTCTGCCTTGGGCAAAGCTTCCCCAAGCAGTGGGGCCTGGCCCCAGTGCAGACAGTCTCTGCACAGAGCCATGCAGCAGTGGGAAGGTTAGGAGGCTAGCGGGGATAGGAAGGATGCAGCCGGAAGCACTTAGATTAGTCCCAGCAAACACATTCAGAAAATATGGCTTTTTAGTTAACAGGGTCAAGAGAGAGAACTTCCTGACTAATCTGTACGGGGCTGAAATAAGTCCAGGGGAGTGCACACCCCTCACCAGAACCGCCTCTGCTGCAGCAAGTGCGGCGGGCACATCTCACCCACCCACCACTCACCCCGCACCTGCCGCAAGGTGCATTTGCAACATCACTTTCTCAGACAGCATTAGGAATAGTAGTAGTAATAATAATAATAATAATAATAATAATAATAATAATAATAATAATAATAATAATGAAAAGAGATTAGCAAACCCAACACATCAAATCCATGAGCCTTGGCAGAGCTGCAGAATAAAAGGGGGAGCAGAGGAGAGGAGCCCGGCTGTTAGTCAGTAGATGGCTCTCAGCACGTGATGGTTTACACACAAGACGTTTAACAACCGAGCGTTATTGCTTTGCTTCCATTTCCAGTCTAATCATTAAACTTTACAAGTCAACATCAAACACTGCCTGTTCCATACAGAGCACGTAGGTGTTGGCGGTTGCACTCCTTGGTCTGTGCTCTCAGGTGTGTGGTGCAGGTCAAAGCTGTGTGCACCCTTTAGATTCTCAAGGAGTCCAGAGCACAGACTAAATGCACCTACAGATGCCTGTTACACCTTACAGGCTAAGGGCTCACTTACAATGTGAGTGGGGGGTGGGTCTGTTAGAGCCCCCAGCACAAGGAGGGGAGGGCAGGCCCTGCCTGTGCTCTGGCAGCTCCTGGGCTTGCAGTATCTCCAGCAGCCTTCTCAGCAAAAAATAGGAACAGTGTCTTTTGGATCTTTTTTTTTTTCATGATCTCTTTGATCATTTTATATAAATACAAAGATTAAAATAATTTATCTCAACATCATTTCTATTACAATCATACAGTGTATTCCCTTCAAAACAAGTGCCTGTATGTGTGTGTGTATATATATATATATATATATGTGTATATATAGTATCTCTAGAGCTATCCTCTCCCCCAGAAAAGCAGCAGTGACTGAAGCAGGTACAGCACGCAGGAGCTGATCCTTCCTGCTCTGAGGCAAATGCACCCAGGGAAAAGCACAGGCCTCACCCTGACAACTCATTTCCAAGCACATTACGTTGGCATGAAGGGGGAACTGGGGTGCTCCCTCTCCATCCCCTTGGGAAACACTCCCCTTGCTGCAGGTGGCTCTGCCTGCCCGGCCGTGGGCTCTGGGGCTCTGGGGCTCCGGGCCTGCCCAGCTGCCCACCCGCACTGGGAGCACTGGGAGGAGGAAGAGGCATTGGGGGACTGGGAATGGGATCAACTCCTTGAGCAAGCTGCTAATTAGTGGTGGAGAGGAAAGGATCCTGCAGCTCAGACAGGGCTGATTCATTTACATACTAGGCACTATGGATGATGATTGTTAGGAAGGTATTTACATAGAAGAAGGATCATACTTCTCCCTCCCCTTTTCAATGCTCAGGTCAGTCATGAACTCCATGATCTCATCAAGGAGTTTGTAATAAAAATGCATCATATTTGTGTCTATCGGGATTGTCTAGGAAGGACGGGAGAAGCAGCTGTGCACACCACAGCTGCAGGAACAGCTGAGCACGCAGGGACACACATTGCCCTCTTTCACCTTAACAGAGAGACAAACCCTCAGCAGAACCTCTCAGAACCTGAGAGAAACAGCAATTTCCAGAGGCCAAGGGCACCTCATGGAAATGGCATCCCTGGAACCACGACGCTGCAGCCCTGGGGCTGCTCCTGCAATGCCTGACAAACCCCTCTTGCTGCCCCTGTGGGTGGGTGACAGCAGGGCCCCCAGCACAGCCGGCTCACCCCAGAGCTGGGGCATGGCAGAGCTTGCCTTAGATCACTGTGCAAAGGGAAACAGGTGGGAAGCATCCCACAGCCTTGCCAGGAGCCAGGCTCTGGGGTGTTCTCTCTTGTGCAACTGCAGCCAGCGCTCATAGCCCAGCGGGGTGTTACCAGTGCCCCCCTGCTGCCCTGCACCCCGCCAGCCCCAGGCAGGCAGCCTGGGCATGCAGTGCTCTGCCAGGGCCTGTGAGTGCCCTGGCCATCTTCTGTGCAGCCTCCTGCAGGGGTGACAGTCTGGGAGGGCCAGTGGCGGCTGGTGGGGGCTCTGTGCTCCTGAGGCAGCAGTTCCAGACATGTCAGGGGCTTCAGAAATTTCCTGCTAGAGCTTTTGTGCCCCAGGAGCTGCACACCTTGGCTGGCCTTCAGCCAGGGCAGCTGCTGCCTGGGTCCTGCAAGGAGGGTCCAGCATGGCTTTGCTGCACTTCTTCCCAAACCCAGGGATGTGTTAGGGACCATGGGAGCAGCTGGGGAGTGCGGGGTCCAAGCCCTCAGGGGTGCCCTGGGGGAGCAAGAGGGGTCTTGCTTTCCAAAGCCTGACTATTCACATCACAGCCAAAGAAAATGTACAAAAGCTGCTAATTTCTGCCCTGCTAGTGCAGCTCACATGCTTCAGGGTTCATTTTTACCAAAGAGCTGGCCTGGGCACTGCTGCTGCAAATCTCATAAAAGCATTTTAATAGAGTATATAAATATTGAACTACAAAAATAGACAGCTCTGACTGTACGGGCACACTGTGGCTGAGCGGGGGCAGGCCAAGCCTCACTAGTCTATGATGGTGATGTCTTTGAAGAGGTTTCAAACCGAACTGGAAGGAAATGGGGTCTGATTGCCCCCTGCAGCTCCCTCCGGCCTGTGCCAGCCGTGGAGGCAGCGAGGGTCCCGGGGGAGGCTGCTGCCCACCACCCAGGCAGGGCACTGGCTGCGGGCAGGGGTCGGGTCCCGGCTGGGTGTCGCTGCCCCAGCACAGCCGGGCCAGCCGGGGCTGGCAGCCCACGTGCTGGGGTGAAACCTGCCCCTTGGATTGCCCCGAGCAGCACAGGCCCTGAGCAGCGAGACCTTTGCCCTGCCTGGCCACCGGAGCCCTCCCCTCCTAGGGGTGTTTCACAACACCCATAGAATGGATTGTAAAGCTGACAGTTTGGTTGGAGACCGGGCAAGGCTGCCCCAGCAGGGTGAAGGCAGCTGCCTATGGCTGCTGTGCTGGGAGGGACGGGAGGTGGTGAGGGAGGACTGGGGGGCTGCTCAGCCCTTGGTGGCAAACCCAGACCTGGCTGTTAGATGTGACTAAGAACCGAAATGCTGGTGCCGAGAGCCCTGTGCAGGGGGCACAGGGAACAGCCCTGCTCCAGCAGCACATGGAGCCCGGCTGTGGCAGGCAAGGAGCCACGGGGGACTGGTGGGACGGGTGCTTCCAGCTCTTGTGCAGCCACCTTGTCTGAGTCCTGTGTGTGAATGTAATGTGGGGGAAATCCGTGTGGAGACACGGTTTGGAGACAGCCAAACTGCTGCACAGGAGAGTGCGGGATGGGACCTGGCTGGCACGGCAGCACTGTCCCTGTGGAAGGGGATCCTTCTGTCACCCACAGGATGGACTGTTGTTCAGCTTCCTGCATCCTGGAGAACCTTCCTGGTGATGTCCTGGGCCCTCTCCAGGCCAGCCCAGTGTCGGTGATGCCCGGGGTTGGAGGCCTGGCTGAGCTCATCCCACTGTGCCAAGCCACACGCTGCACAGCCCCTTGCTGCTGCACACACACCTCCTGGCACCCCTGGCTAGAGAAAACACATCTGGTGCCCACTCTGAGGGCAGCAGCAGCAGGAAGATCTCCTCATTACAAAAATGCTTGCTTGCTTCTTTCTTTTTATTTCTCTTTCTTTCTTTCTTTTCTTTCTTTCTTCTCTCTCTCTCTCTTTCTCTTTTTCTTTCTCTCCTTCTTTCCTTGGAAGCTCTGGACAGGTGCTGGACCATGTCCCCTCCACAGCCCAGGTGGTGGGTGCTCCCCTGTCCCGCAGCTCTGCCGGTGCCACCCTCGGCTCAGACCCTTCGGGCAGAGGAGTCCCGCCGGTGTCCTGTGGGTGGGAGGTGCATGCAGGGCGCCTGCTTTCTGCTGCCCCTTACCCCCCGAGGGGATGGGGGAAAAGAACCTTGGCCGGCGCCCGCCCCGGTGCTGCCAGGCTCAGGCCTTCCCGGCCGGTCGGGCCACGCTGTCCCCTATTCCTGAGCCTATTCCTGGGCCCGGGGGGCACCGTGGGCACCGGCCCCCTGCCTCTTTCCGGGCTCGCCCTTGGCCGACCTGGCCCTGGCCGCCGGGTCCTGCGGGGGCTGCCGGGGCGGCCTCTGCCCCCGGGCGTTGCCGGCCGGGCCGCGGGGCTGGGCCGGGGGCTCGGGGGGCTCCGGGGACAGGCGCTGCGGGGCGCGGGGCCGCGACGTGTAGAGGAAGAGGGCCGGGTCGGGCATGGCATCGTGCTCCTCCGGCACCGGGTCCCTGGGGCGGCCGCCGTCCCCGGGCAGGCGCCGGGCGGGCGCTCTGTGGCCGCGGCGCCGGGGCCTGCCCTCGGCCGGGGGCTGCTCGGGGGGCGGCCGCCCGCCCGCCCGGGGGCCCGGCAGGCGCTGGGCCGTGGCGTGCAGCTGCAGGGACAGGTAGGCGGCCGCCTCCGTCTGCTTCTGCAGCTCCGTGTCGAGGATGGTGACGCGGTGGCTCCGGCGCTTCAGCTCCTCCAGGAACCGGCGCTCCTTGCTGCGGAGGCTGGAGCGCAGCGCAGCCACCAGCGTCTCCTTGTGCTGCAGCTCCTTGCGCAGCTCCAGGTTGTCCTTCTCCTTCTCCTGCAGCTGGGCCTCCATCGCCCGGCACTTCTCCTCCAGCTCTCGGTCCAGGACATCTGCGAGTCAAAGCACAGAGAGGGGTCAGGAGAGGCAGCAGTGGCTCAGTGCACTGCTCCTGCCGGGTGCTCCCAACGTGGATGTGGCTACTGACCACTCCGTGGTACCAGCATGTCCCACCGGTGCCATTGAGGCTGTGCGGGTTCTTCTTGGAGCTGGGGCTCCAAAACTTCCCATGAGCTGCCCGAGCATGGGCTTGCTGCCAGCACAGGCGCAGGAACCCTGTCAGCCCTGAGCCACGGTGCCACTGGCACAGTGCCACGTGTAACACCCAAATGTGGGGTGACAGCAAAGGCAGTTTCAGTGGAGGACGTCATTGCCGTGGAACCTGCCACCTTTACCTTTGAAACCAGAGTTTTAAAATTTCCCTAAGTAACTAGGTTTTCACCCTAAAAGTGACTTTGAGTGTGTGCAGAGGACATGGGGGAATACATGGACTGGGAGAGAAAAGGAAGTGGTTCAGGGAAACCATCAGCTCAACTTTGGCCTCAAACCCTGGGACTCCACAGCCTGGTTAACAAGGATGGAGATGTTAATCCAAGATTACAGAGGAGCTGGGCTGTGCTCAGCAGAGAAGGAGCTGATATGCCAGGAGGGAAGACTGGGCTCTGGGCAACCCCATCCTGGCACAGGATGGCCAGGCAGCCAGGGGGATTTCCACCTGGGGTGGAAGGGCTGAGCTCAGCGGGCAGCAGGAGGGCTGGGCTGGGCTCCTGCCCCCAGCAGCCCCAGCCACCCACTCCAACACCCAACCCTTGGCAGGGCGCTGGCTGGCACCCGCCCACGCTCCCTGGCCTGCCCAGGCCTGCTCCCGTCCTCTGCAATACTCTGCTTTTTACTATACAATTGGCAGTCCCTTACAGCCTCAGCTTCTCAGTGCTGCTGCAGAGGGAAAATGCTTTATAATGAGGTCCCAGGGAGGCAGTTGCAGGCAGTAATTATTCCATGAATGGCATTAGAAAAGCAATCATGGTGCTGCCCCATAAATGTGCCAAAATGATCGTGCTCTTTGTCAGCTCTAAAAGGTTAAAGGACGGGCAGGGACCATGGGTGGGACTCGCTGCGTTGTGGCTGATGACACCCTGATGGCACCTGGTGGGCTTGGGTGCCAGACCCTTCACCATCAGGGAGCCCACTGGTGCAGGCAGGGGCCCCTGTCTCCACAGGAGGGGCTGGGAGAGTAGAATCCCACTGGAGCCAGCCATGGCACTGTGTGAGGGTGCCAAGGGCAAGGACCCCAACAGCCCCAGCGAAAGCGGCCCCCACCCACCCTGGCACAGCCAGCCCTGGTGCTGAGGACACAGCGCAGGCTGGGGCTTAGTGCCAGGGACTGTGCCCAGGCAGCACCAGGGAGGAGTTTCAGCTTTGTCCCTGGGATGGAGGAGGGAGAGGAACCAGGCTGCTCACAGAGCATCCACTGCCAGCTGTGGGGTTCCTGGGTGACACCAGCATTTATTGGGCTACCAGCAGCCTGTGAACTGCATGCTGCCTTCCCAGCCCTGCCCTCAGCCCCTCTGTCCCCTCAGCCAAGGTCCATGTCCCCTCCCTGGGCAGCCCCAATGGGTCCCCTCTGGCCCAGGCTTTTCAGGTGGCCCCCACACCCACACACGCTCCCCCTTACCTCGTGCCCAAAGCTGTGCTCTTACCTTGCTGGCGAGCCTCCAGCTCTTTCATTTCCAGGTCATGGGTGAGCTCTGGAAGAGAAATGGAACAGGACTGAGGAGGGGCATCCCACCCATGCTGCGCTCCCTGTGTCTTCCTCTGCTCCCTGCGGGGCACTGGACATCACTGAGGCTGCAGCGCTGCCTCTGCCGGCCCATGTGGGAGCGTGGCCATCAGGCTGAGCTAAAAATAGACAATTCTGGCAATTTATGTTATTAAGCAGCCTGGTGGCCAAGGCAGCATCCTTGGGTCCTATCCCACAGCGGAGCGGGAGGCTCCATTCCTCTGGCAATGCCTTTCCTTTTTCTAAGAGAGCTGCTAAACCATTTTCAGTGCTTTAAATCAGGGCAAAGAGCAGAGCAATGGACTGAAAATAGATCAAAGTTGCCACCCGAAGCATTTCATAATTTACTGCTCCAGGCCGATCGCTGCCTCTGCGTGTGACGCAAGCGGGACTGCCTCATCCCAGCACAGTGTGCCTGCAGAAGGATGCTGCCCTGCTCCAGTGCAACGTGGAGCTTCCAAATCCCTTCCAAATCCCACCAGCTGCAGCCCCTTCCTGCCTGCTCAGCCCTGACATGCTGCCTGCTCTCTGCCTGCTTTCTGCTTAGTCCTGGGCTACAATACCAGCTCACAAAGGGCAGCTCAGGGACCTTCTGGAGTTCACTTTACTCTGCACACTCTTGCAGACAATCCCTTTTGAATTAATTATCACAGCCCACCCAACCACCAACAGCCCTGAGCAGAGGAGGAGGGGGGCAGCAGCAGCATTCAGCTGTTTGAGGGCTTTTTTTCCCCCTGAAAATGAGTTCAAATGGTTAATCTTTGCCCTACATTTTTCTTTTAATCTGCTTTCATGTTGACTCTAATCCTCATCACTGCCATCCTCCTGAAATGGAACACTTGGCTCAGGCTGCTCTGCCTGTCTGTCTTGGAAAACAAATCTGTAGTGAGAAGGCAGAAGTACCTGAGAACATAATGCAGTTTCTGGAAAGCATTCAGTGCTACTGACTGCCCCAGTGGGAATCAATGGCCATTGTGCTATTTTTCTGAAGCTAAAATAATAAGTTTGGAATCTCAGATATATTCCAAATGAAAACCAAAGCAGTTGCCTATTTCCAAAGACACCGCCCTGCTGAGCAAGTGTAGGGATGACACATATACAGCCCGGGGTCTAAGCTTCTGTGCTGGAGCCATGGGGGCTGGTAGGGACCTGCCCCAGTACTGTCCCCACAACCCCCGAGGGGCAGATTAGAACGAGCTCTGTGGGAGGGAGAGCCCTTCCCACAGGGATGCCTTGGAGAGACCAAGGGAAGAGTGAAAAAGTCAGAAACAACAGTGCCAGAGCAGCAGACGCAGCTCCACAGGGCCCCAGTGAGGAAGAACTGACTGACTGCCTCCACTCTTCTCCTGCAAACAGCCCCCCTAGATAATGGCACTCAAATGTCAGCAAAGTCACCTTGAAACTACCCAGGGGTTGCCCCATCACTCTTGGCAGAACAGGCACTGCAGAACCACACACCTCACCTGTAGGACAGGACCTCTCCAGTCAGACAGGGCTGTCCATGGGTCCCACTGGGAAGGGGAGATCACTCATAACCAATTGTGCAGCGGGCTCATTTCATCCCCTGGGGACAGAACCCTCAGCCTGATTTAGGCAGGAAAACCCCACTGTCTTGCTTGTCTGGAGAGGCCATAGATGAAGCCATTAAAACAATGAAACAAAACAGCAAAAGCTCAGAAAGGGTGGGGAAAATAGCCAGTTTTATCAGTGCAGACATGTCTTTGTTTCCCAGGAATCCGTGAGGACGAGAGGCTGAAAGACAAGGCGTAATTAACTACGGCTGAATTATTGATGAGAGCAGTGGCACAAGCTGGAATGAGTTTGAGTGGTGGCAGGAGGCCGGGCAGCTGTCACTCCTGTGGGGATGGCTAGAGGGGACAGTGACACTGCTGCAGTGGGGCCGTGGGTAGGGGGCCGGCAGCTGTGCACCCCACAGCCACAGCCAGGCAGAGCCCCGAGCCCCGGGCTGCAGTTTGGTGCTTGCCTTCCCTGCATCCTGCCCAGTGCCTGTGTGAGCACCCTGGGGTGCCAGCAGGAGCTTTCCTGCCCAAGGTGCTCTGTGAGCAGGCAGCTCCCACACACTGTGGCCATCCCAACGCTCACCTGCGCAGTGCTTCTGCAAGCGGAGGATCTCCAGGTGCAGGTCATGAAGCAGCTCCATCTGCTCCTTCTTTAGGAAAGCGATGTGCCGCTGCACGCTCTGGATCTGGTGCTCCAGGGACACTGTCTCCATCGTAACCAAATTCACGGTCCAGGCCTGTGGGGAGTGGAGACGGCTGGTGATGGAACGTGCAGCAGCACACAGGGCTTGTGAGCACCAGAGCCCTTGTGAGGGCCAGAGCCTGTGGGTGCAGGGTGGTGCCTGCTCTCCTCTACCCTTTCCACAGGGATGTGGCTATGGGTGAAGCAGCCCTGCTTAGCCAATCCCCAGGGAATGGCCCCAGCCCTCTCATCACCCCGTGCCTGCGGCCAGGTCCCGTCCTGCCTGCTCAGAGACTGCATGGGCAGAAAATGCTGTTGCATGGACCCTGGCATTGCAGCAACCATTTCTGTTCTGAATTTGGCCCAGGGAATATTTTATCATGGAGCAGGATGCATCTGGAACAGGATTGCTCCCCACCATCCCCAGGTGGGAGTTGCACCAGAGACGAGTTTGGCTCTCACTTGACATGCCACACATTAGGCAGCAGCAACTGCAGCAAGGATCCAGCACATGAAAAATACAACATGCTCCGTCTAACCCGATCAGCTCTGTGTGGCGAGAGGAGTCATGTTGTCTTCCAGGAGAAGAAACGTCTTTCCTGGTAATTTGCCTGGCAGACAAGAGCTGCTGATGTCTGAGCTGGGCTGGGGGTCCAGCACCACGTGTCACCAATGGCTTCGGCAAAGCAGCTGCGTGAGCCACCCACCTGTGCTGCTGCACAGAGAGATAAAAATAACCCCCCAAAGAACCCTTAATCCTGGGAAATAACATTTTAGTGGTGTGTGGAATCTGTCCTTGCTCCCCACACCCAGCCCAGGAAGGAGGGAAGCTGCAGCAAAGTAGGGTAACCTGGCAGTGCTGGGTGAGTGGCTGGACTCGGAAGACCTGAGAAGTTTTTCCAACCTAAATGATTCTGTGGGGAGCTTGTGCCACAAGCCTGAGGGACAGTGTGCACCATCCTGTCACTGGGAAGCTGGTTCCATTCCCTCCTTCATCCACATCTGACTCCAGTTGTCTTTCTACAGAAACTCCTGAACCAAGCGAGCACTCTGGCTCACAGTTCCAGCACACCCGGCATGGTGACATAGGGCATTTTGAGATCATTCCTGCAACCAAAATCAAATCAAACTGCATTTAAGCTCAATCCCACAGTAAGCAATCCTGGCAGTGCCCCAAGGTCAAAGCTTTGTTCCTGCCAAAGGCTCTGCAGGTTTTCTCCGTGTTCCTGTATTTGATGAGTTGGGGAGTGTGGGGTGGTTGGAGGCAGCTGCAGCACCCACTTGGCAGGTATAGGAGTAAAAATGATCCAAATTGTGTTCTGCTGGGGTTGTCCCTGCCAGAGGGGTCAGACCCACCTGCGCCAGGGGCTGGGGCTGGCCTGGCCCCTTGGAGGGCTGTATGTCCTGGTGCCAGGGCAAAAATTCTGAGAGTTAACTGGCATCTGCAGGAGCCCAGGGCTGCAAATCACACCACGGATACACCCTCCTGCCAGCCCTGGTTGCGATGGGCTGGGCTCTGGAGCAGCTTCTTGGTGGGAGCTGAGGTACCTCATCTCGAGAAACATCAGAAAGTAGGTTGGCCGAAGCCCGGGGGACACATAGCGCTATTTTCAAGCACTTTGTTCTGTTTAGTTGAAATGTCTTCAGTAGAATTGGCTGCAAATTTTCCATTGAACTTTCCCTTCTCCCTCTAAGTAGGAAATTACTCTTTTTTTTAACCATTGAAAATGTTTTCCTTTAAAAATAAATAGTTGATAAATATCAAGCTCTAAAGGAAGAAAAAAATTGTTTTCGAAGAAAACAAATCTGGAATTGAGATCTATTTATCGTCTCTGACTTGGAAGTTGAAGAGTCCTCATAATTTACCTGTGTATGGGATCAAAAGAAGTCTGTCTCCAAAATTGCTGTGGGAAATCTTTAGTGGTTTGAATCAGCTTTGCCTGTCTGACATGACTTTCACTGTTGCTCTTGAGAAACAGCTCTCAGTCTGTGGCAGGAACATCTGGTGTCTCATGTTGAGGAGAGAGCACCTTGTTTTGTCTAGCCATGAACCTCCCACCAGCACTAAGGGAGGCAGGGGCGGGACACAGGGGCAGACAGGTAGGGATGAGGTTGGATGCCCCTGCTCTGATCCCTGCCTTGCTGCTTACTTCTCTTTTCCAGACTAGTTCTAACTTGCCAAGGCAACTGGTGGTGGAAGCTCTCAAAGTGACCGTGTACTCTGTGGCTTTGAGGAGTTATATATGAGGTTACAACTCTAGAAAACAACATCATTCATAATAAAAGCCATAATAAGTGATAGTCCTCTTTAGCTTGAAGGATACTCTGTGCCCTTGGGCTTCTGAGAGTGGTACATGCATACACACAGAAGGAAAGGAGGCAGCAATCAGCTAAGAGGTGGGGTCTGCCCCTATTCAAAGTTGACACCTACAGCCTGAGCTGGCCCCTGCTCAGCTCTGGATGAACAGCTCTCTCCAGTTTTGGAGACAGACATCCAGGGGGCTTTGATCCATCACTGAGAGCTTTCCAGTAACAGGGTTCCCCTGCTGACCATCTAAGACTTTGAGCACAGGACTGCTGAGCCAGTGCTGGGCTCAGCCCCCTGCATTCCCCACACGGGGTGATAATGGGGGCACAGTCTTGACTGCTGAGCCTTCCTATGGGCCTGCCCCTGCCTCTAAACCACATTTCCCCCCCACTCCTTATCCTTTCACCATGCAACCACAACCTTTGGGACAAGCCCATTGGGAGTCCTGATCTAGCTGGTTGTTTCAAAGCACTGTTGGAAAACCTCAGCGAGATTTGCAATTTCATCCCAATTTATCAAATTCTTATTTCACAAACCAAAATGACTGAAGCAGCCTCTTGAAGTAGATACAATGACTAAATCAGTTGCAAGAGCTGATTTCCTTTGCCCAGGTTGATTTGCTTTGGTTGAGAATTTGCTTCCAGGGCAAAACTCTACCGAAGTCTGTTGATCAATGCAAATCAGAATCCCAAAACTTTGACCAAGAAAAACCCTCCATCTCGATGATGCATCGGAAAGGCAGATGCAGTGTTGCATGTCCATGTACTCCTGCACACACACCATCACAGCAAGGTCCGACCCTTATCCATCTGATCATTATTCCCCATAAATGGCAAAGTAGCTGGGAGTCAGAGGGCACAAATGAGGTTTGCAGGAACAGGTCGATAATTTGTCCTGCTGTGCTTGCCAGCAACCCCCTCTCCATCACATTAAAACATATACAGGAATAAACACTGATACATGTTAGAAATACATAGTGCTTAGTATTTACAGCTCAAAGAATACAAAGAAAAACTTAGCAGCAATGCCATGAAGCCAGTGTATCTTTAATGTAGGGAAATCAGACAGCAGGAAGCTCAGAAACTTGCAGAAGGTCACAGAGGCAGTGGCAATGCCAGGAATAGAAACCAGAGGTGAAATCCCGGCCTTGGAAAAGTCAGTGGGAAACCTTCCCTGATCTCAGCAGAGACAGAATTACACTCGGAGCGCTGTTTGCTATTCATTATCTGTCAGTATCTATTTACAGATAAAATCAATACAGACGTTGATTATAAATTATTGTGTTTTCTCTCAATTCTCTGAGCGCAGCTGCCTGAGGAACAGCCCCAGCGAGGCTTGTCAGGGGGCTGCGGATGCTGAAGGCAAGGCCGTGCTTTCTCCTCCCGTCTCCGGGGGAATTCGCTATGGATCGAGCTCTGCGCCGGGAGCCGAACCGGGCCCGTCACCGCCGCTCGGGGCCAATCCTCCCCCCCGGGGCTCCCGCGGTGCCGCCCGCCCGCCGCGGTCTGGCCGCGGCGCTGCCGGTGCCGGCGCTGAGCCCGGCGGGGCTCGGGGGACAGCGGGGACAGCCCGCCGCCGGGGCGGGCACCGGGAGAAGCAACTTCTAGAACCGGCACGGCGGGGCTGCGGGAACTTCTGCGGGGCCGCCCCCGCAGCCCGGGGACCCCGCCCGCTCCGCAGCCCGGCCCCGCGCCCCCAGCCCGGCCCCGCGCCCCCGGCCCCGCGCCCGGTCCTTACCTGGGGGGAGCGGCGGGGCCCGGCGGGGCGCCCGCTGGGCGTCATGGGGCGCCGGGGCCGGGGCCGGGGCCGGGGCCGCGGCGGCTCCCGCGCTGCCCGCGCTGCCTGCGGCGGCCCCGCCTCGCCCGGCCCGGCCCCGCCGCCCGTAAACAGGCGGCAACGTGACCGGAACTGGGGAGCTCCGCCGGGGCGGGCGGCGGCGGGCACCGGGGAGAGACCCCCGCGCCGGGGACACTGCCCCGCACCCGGGCCGGGGGAGCCGCTGGAGGGGGAGCCGCATCGGGAACGGGGCGCCGCTCCCCGGGACCCTCGGGCCCCGCTCCCGCTTCTCAGGACCTTCGGTGGGGCTGGGTCCCGCTCCCCGGGACTCTCGGGACTCTGCTCTCCGGGACCTCTGGTGAGGCTGGGCTGCTCTCCCGGGGACCCTCCTGTCTCCGCTCCCGCTCCCCGGGGACCCTTGTCCCCGCTCCCCGCCGCTGTCCGCAGTGCTGAAGCCGCGCCGGGTCCCGCGGCCGCCGCCCGCCCAGCCCCGGGCGCGGGGACCCCCCGAGCAGCCCCAGGGGGGCAGAGCGGGGGGCTCGGGGTCTGCGGGGGAGGCAGCGGCGGTGTGTCCCTGGGGGGGCTGCGGTGTTACCGCCACTCGGGGGGATGTGAGTCGAATGTGGGCCGGTACCGCCCGCAGCCAGGAAACCAGTGGGCTGAACCAGCAAAGCTGCGGTCATAGAGATAGCGCAAAAACGTTGTTTACTCATGTGGTAACTGATTCTTCACGCCTTTTGTTTGCAGTGCCCAGACCAGCTGGGGCTCCACATTCAAAGATGACTCAATCCTCTGCGCCTCTGCTCTGGCGGGGGAGCTGGGATGCGGTGGCCTGTTCCATCCGCACGGCAGTGACGGTGCAGGGAAATGGTAGCGTCCTCCCCGTCAGCTGACAGTCTGCTGATCCCCGTTCCCTTAAACCCAAATCTGCCACAGGGAGTGCAGTGTTCCTGCTCTGATGCTCAGCTGGGTTGTGCTGCCATCCTCACATTAAAACTACTTCAATTCTGCTTATACCAGCGCACAACCACCACACGGAGGAGTTGTAGGGCAGCCCACGGGGTATGGTCTGTGGTATGATTCTACTATCCCACATCCTTTCCTTCCCTTGGGTGCTTCCAGGCTCTGAGGGTCTACACATGCACACACAGGTTGCTGATTTGTAATGAGTTATTCAGACAGATCTGCTTGCAGCTTCAGCAGCAGCACAACTGCCAGCACAACTGAGAGCTTCAGGGCTTCAGGGCTTCCCAGTGCTCACCCAGTCATGCCAACTCCTGTGTGGGTCTCCTCTCAACTTGTTTTCTCTGAAAAATGAATTCTTCTTGCAACAACAAGTTGTTAAGAGGTGGCAGATGCCTGTGTGAAGAAGAGTGCAGCCTTTCTTGTTCAGAGAAGTGCTGTCTCATTAGGAGCCCCTCTCACCCATTTGTGACCATCAGGTCAATGCTTGCCAAGGTGTCACTTGTCCCTCTCAGGGCAGGTGCCATGCTTAGGGGGTGTGGGTGTTTTTAATGTCGCATTGTGTCTTCCCCTAACTTGTGTGCTAACTTGAGTAGCAGTGAGCTACAGTTGGGAGGAGGGGAGAGGGGATATCTGAGTGCATCATGTTTCACGAAGTTTGAAAAATTTTCATTGATTTTCCACTGGATAAAACAGTCAAGGTCAGGCACTCAGGGATGGAGAGCTGCTCTGTAAATGAGGTCATCGCTCCAGGATGCAGCCTGCCACGCCGGATGGCAGCAGAGCGCCACGCATCCTCTGCACCCAGCATGGCACAGGATAATTCCATCACCAGTTCCACAGTGAACTGGTTTCACTGGCAGCTTTTTTGAGCAGGACCTGGCAGTCCCTTTGCTGATGCCTCCAGCCACCATGATGTCCTGCACTGCAGTTACGCTGTGACCCTTCCCCACTCCTCCCTTGCTCCAAGAGAAGGGAGCTGCTTCTTGAACAGATCTGAGGTTGTTTGTGATAACATAATGAGGCAAAAATGGCAGGAATGCCATTTCAGGAGGAACTGCGGGGTCCCTGCTTTCAGCCCAGATGCGTGACTGAGCTCTGGAGGCTGTTGGGCAGAGCCAGTCAGCTCTCTGTCCATTGTACACCAGCTGGGAGACATCTCACTGCCATGTGCCTCAGTGAGGGCGCTGACAGCCCCAGCGCACGGTGACCCCGGCGTTCAGCGGTGTGGCAATGTGGGCAGCAGACATGGGGGGACCCACTGTGCACCTCGGCCCCGGGTTCTGCTGCAGCGACGTGGTTTGTCCCCTGGAGCGAGACTGGTGGAGACTGAGGGGATGCAGGATGAGAGGATGTGGGGATGCGGGATGTGGCATGCAGGGATGTGAGGATGCGGGGATGAGTGGATGAGGGATGCGAGATGCGGGATGTGTGGATGAGGGATGCGGGATGTGGGGATGAGTGGATGAGGGATGCGGGATGCGGGATGCGGAATGTGTGGATGAGGGATGCGGGATGTGGGGATGAGTGGATGAGGGATGCGGGATGCGGGATGCGGGATGTGTGGATGAGGGGTGCGGGATGCGAGTGCTGCGGGTGGGGCTGCGGGCGGCAGCTCTGCCGAGAGGGATTGGGCTCGGCCGTTGCTCCGAGCCGGCACTGACCTCTAGTGGTACCGGCACCGGCGGCGGCGGCACCGGCGGCGGCGGCACCGGCGCAGGCAGCGGTACCGACAGCGGTAAGGACAGCGGTACAGACAGCGGTACCGACAGCGGTAAGGACAGCGGTACCGACAGCGGTGCTAGCACCGGCACCAGCACGGGCAGTGCCCGTGTGGCCCTGTCGGTGTGGGTGGCACTGGAGCACGGTCCTGTCGGGCTGCAGCCCCGGTGCTGCCGGGGCTTCCTCCTGCGGCCGAGCTGACAGCCCGCAGCCGGTGCTGGGCAGGCGGGAGGGTGGCTGCGGGAGGGCCAGGGCGGGGGTCGCGGCCGCGCTGCCCTGCGGGGTGAGGTGTGCCGTGCACCGCGGGTGAGGTGTGCCGTGCACCCCGGGTGAGGTGTGCCGTGCACCCCGGGTGAGGTGTGCTGTGCACCCCGGGTGAGGTGTGCCGTGCACCGCGGGTAGGTGTACTGTGCACCGCGGCCTCCCTCTGCCCTCAGAGGCCTCTGAGTCTCGCTCCGACACTGAGGTCTGGTTGATCCCGTCTTAGCCGAGATACCTGTCCCGGGAGGGCAGGTGAGGACGGCAGGGATCCTACACGGCGCCGCAGTCAGTGGGCAGAGACAGCCCCGGGCAGCACCTGGGGCTGCTCCTGCTCACGCATCCCTCCTTCCTGGGCTGCTGGAGGAGCTGAGGGATGGAGCTTCTGCCTGCGAGTCTGGATGTGGCCAAGGTCCTGCACTGGGTGAGCACAGATCCCCTCGGCGGTGACTGGTTCCTGGACCAAACAGCTGATTCCCAACAGGAATCATCCTGTGTGCACTGGAGTTAAGCCTGAATCCTGCAGCCTTGTATGGACTGTGGCTGACTATGGGAGTGCTTTGAGACCAGAGCTTCCCCCTCTCTACCCCGGAGTTAATTATTAGGGGGATTTTTGCATTTAATTTAAAAATGAGTTTAACTTCGCCTCAAATACTATTTTTCAGCCTAATTGAAACATAGTGTGTGTGTCTTCTAATTGCTTTGAAGAACCTAATAAGCGGCTCCGTAAAATCTAAAGGCTAAAAGCTGGAGGGTTTTAATAAATTTAACATTAGCTTAACATCTCCACGGGGACTGTAAAATATCTACTCATAAGGATATTTGCTTGAGCTAAGCCATGCAATTTATCCCTGCAGGTTAGCATGTATGTGATATGCGAACACTCCAATTTTTTATTTTTCTCATTATTTTAGAACTTTTTTTCCAATTTTTCAAATATTTTAAAATAAAAGTTGTTTTTACTTTTAAATCTCTGAGGTCTGCAAAGATCTTTGTGCTGAAGCAGAGGTGGGTCAGCTCCTGGGCTCCAGAGGCAGGAGGGTGTTTCAACTTCCTCTCCTTCCTCCCCCCTGTCCCATCACTGCTCCCCTGCCCATGACCTCCTGAAGTGGGGTACAGGGGCTAGAGAGAGAAGCCAAGGCTGGGGTGAGGGTCAGTGAAGGGTCATCCATGGCTCTACCCTGCTGGGGGGCAACGCAAGTGGTTGGAGTAGTGAGACCCCCTCAGTCATTCCCCCCTGCACACACATTCCTCTGTGTGTGCAAACGTGAGGCCCAGCACAGCTCTGGGGCTCTGCAGAGCAGGGCCTTGCCAAGCAGTGAGCCCTGTGCTGCCTGGTCACCAAATATGATATACCAGTGATTTCTTGGCTACCATTTCAGCTGACACACCCAGCTGAGGGCCGAGGTGCTGTGCCCCTGTGCTGTGCCAGCTGCCCATGCAGTGGGTGGACGTGGTCTGTCTGGGCAGGCTGTTCCCTCCAGCCTGGAGCCTGTAACTCATGGGAGGTGAGAGCCCCTCTGGAGGGCAGGTCACTGCCCAGATTCGGAAGACCCCCATCTGATTCCTTTTCTGTGGCCCAGGCAAGGCACAGCCTCTCCAGCTGGCACAGCAAAGCACCCTCTGCTGCCCAGCTGCGAGGAGGCACCAGTGCTCTTCAGATTCGTTTGGACTCAACAACAGCAGGACTCCAGAATTACCAATAATAGGTATTTATTTGAGTAATTAATGCCATTTGGTTTAAATGAAGTTGTTGGATTATGGATCCTGGGTTTGCTGAGCTGTGAATTAAGTTCTCAAAGACCAGAAAAGTGAGGATTTAGTGGCAGAACACCACTTTTGAGAAACAGCTTTCAGTGTTATTTGAAGCTCCTTGAAGGAACATTGTGCTCCTGATTTACTTCTTGAGCCCCCCGCAGCACCCAGGGGCTCCCAGGGGGAACCTCTGGCTCAGAGCTCCTTCTAATCTATGAGAGAATGGTTCTGCCAAGTGATTTGGGTGGGTACTCTCACGGCGAGCAAGAACTGTGACAGAACCAGGGGTGGGGTCCAGCCCCCAGATTGTGCAGGTGTGGCCCG